CAGCTGTTTTGTGACAGACACCTACATTCTTCACCCTAAACTATGACAAATTTTGAACACAGCAAAATTGTCCATAAAAATAAAAAAACCATAGGACACCTGAATTAAAAAAACAAACAAACACACACACTTACCTCTAAGTTGTATATGGAAAAAAAAGGGTGTTGTTAGCGTGGGACCCGGTAATGTGGGGAAGTAACAATAATAATAATAATAATAATGTTTAAAAAGTCCATATGACAAAGCGGGTTCTGTTTACAATTAAAAACTAAGTAGCAAAGCTACTTCCAATATCAAGTTATTAAAAACAAAACGATGACAACAAAAATTAGAAGCTCATCAAAAATAACAAAATCAAATCACTCTCAGACATCTGACACAGTCCTCTAACCAGAAAGAAGACTTCAATTGCCACAAACACAGACTACTTGCTGAAGAACAAAAGCTATATGGTCCTCAGGTTTTCCTATCTCAGATTTGTTTGAGGTAACCTTTTTTTTTTTTTTTTTTTTTTTAAACCTAGAGAACAGAATTGTTGATTTTTATCCTCGACTATTGGTTTGGTGTATGGATTGTAAAGGACCCAATATGAAAGACACTGGAGGCAGAGCATTCTAACTAAAAGTAATCTTCAGTAGCCATATCTAAAAGGAAAACCAGTACTGAAAGTAGTGAAAACAGATTACTAACACATAACATATCACACTAGGCCACAAATATATCCAATGCATCACCACGGGGGAGGGGGGCAGAGACGGGGAACATTACATTCATCACACAGCATAGGTGTCAGTATATAAGGGACTTGCTTAACACTTCAAACTAAGGCACATTCAGTAAACTGACCTCAGAGTTTCCAGTCTACAATTTGGGCTCTTCAATGCAGCAGACAGCAGATCCACTCCTGAATCCTGCATCACATTCAAGCTCAGGTCCAGCTCTGTCACATGGGAGTTCTTGGCCTTTAGAGCTGAGGCTATGGTTTCATAGTGAGTCAGTGACAGTTGACATCCAGAAAGTCTACAATGACAGATACATTTTTAAAAATGTCTTATAAAGATAGCACGTTTTTCATTTCATGTGGAAATGGGGTGCTCACGCACAAATCTGTGGTTATCTTATAATATTTGCCTACTAGATGTCCTCATCAGTTTACTCCCTTGTCCTTTGCCCTAAAGGCCCAAAGGTGTACAAATGCAGATATGATAATCATGTAGATTTGAATTAGGTGTGAAAAAGTGATGCAATGGTGGCCTTCTGATGCCAAGTCACCCAAAATGACCTTGCATCTAAAAACTTGGTCAATAACACTCAAGGCAACAACAAAGCAAAGACAAAACAAACAACCACAACAATGAGAACCACAGTCACATTTTTTTTATTTTTTATTACTGCATCCATCCACTTATGCTTATATGCTGAGCCAATCCAGAATGGCCGAAAACCTCACACTATCTAAGGGAGAGGCCAGGTCTAACAGTATTCTTTCTCAAATAATGGATTGGGCAAAATAAATGTAAATAATAGCAATAATTTCAGTAACAAGGACAACCTTTAGCCTTATATCATTGTACATCATATGCACTACCCTCATTCTTTTATCACTACAAAAGATAAATAAAAAAGAGAAAACCCACACAGAAAAATAATCAGCCACAAAAACAAAAAAAAGAACAGCTTAATTAACACTGATTTAAGATGTTAATCACACCTTGTCTCTCCGAGCCTTTCTGCAGTTCCTCACAGCTGGAATCAATTTCCATTTTCCCACCAATGTTGTGTTAAACTTCCACAGATCCAACTCATCCAGAACCTCTTCAAATGTTTGCAGCATTAAGACCAGAAAAGTGCACTGGGACTCGAAAAGGGCTCTCCCCAAGGGCGTAGATTTGGCATGGACGGAAGTGACATGTTCCCACCAATAATTTGATCTATTCGAGTAAAGAAAATCAATGCCGATAGAAAGAAAAACGATCTGTCAACGTCTCATTCACCCAGTGGTGCCGAAAGAGTTAAATTACGTTCTCTACTGGAGTCCTACCTTATGTGACAAATATGGCCAATGTGATTGGCTGTGCCTTTCAGGGAGCTCTGTTTAGTTTTAGCAGCAGCAAGCCTGCGCTGCGAGGACCTGCAAAGAGGAGAGGATGGCAGCGCAACGGAAGAACTTGGATACAAGTGTCTTTCAAAGAAACCTGTAAGTCACTTAAAGCCAAATTAACTCATAAAATGTGTCCGTCATAATAACGTTACAGGCTATGCTAGGCTTTGGCCCACATCAGTCTAAAATTGTATGTAACCACGAATAACGTGTTTTGGAAACTAACTGCACAACAGGCAGCACTATTAGTTATCTCAGTCTCCCAGAGTAGCATTTTTAATTTTGATTGAAACTGTCAGAGAAAACGGCAGCCTCGAGCAGGCCAGGATATTAGTTTAGAGGCTGTTAAAATTATGTCTAACATTAAAATGTTGCTGACACAATAATTTCATCCTAATGGTCCTGACATATTCATAGGGTTAATTTTTGAGACAAAATATCATGAGGTAGTCATGATTTTGCAAATATTCCACCTTGTAGTGCAGTTTGCACAAATTGTTTTAAAAATGCACTCACCCTGCAAACATTACTGATGAGTCAAGATCTGCACAAATTGACAGAAACACTGAAGCAGCTACACATTTTATTCTTATTGTCATGTATGTCCTATTTGTCAGGTGACAGAAGAGCCAACACAAAGCTCAGAGAGTAATGGTGATACAAGATCACAGGTGGAATTGGATGATGACTTGTTGGTTCATTACTGTATTTGAAGCATATGTGTGACTGCATGTATTTGGAATGTCTCACTGTTATTTATCAGGTGACAGAGGCAGCTCTGCCATGTTGTAGCTCAGACAGAGGTGAAGAGGCGAGGTCACAGGTGACTGACTGATGATTCGGTGCTATAGATTAACTAGTATTTATTATCATGACAGTTGTTAGGCTGCTGATGTAAGTTTTCATTAGTGTATATTTGACAAAGAATCTGAATTGACATGTCTTACTTTTTATATGGCACGAATCAATGTGTTATTTTATCAGGTGGCAATATGTCGTAGTGCAGTCAGAGGGGAAGAGCCAGGGCCAAAGGTGAGGCACATCAAGCACAGAATAATAATTGTAATCTGAGGATAAAACGCAGGTACTGAGGCTGAAAGAAGCTTCAGTGCTCTCAGAAGACTAAAAACATGACTAAGGTTAACAATGACTCAAATGAGATTAAACAATGCTGCTGTATGCCATGTCCACCAGGAGCGACTGGACTGTATAGATGTAAGACAAATATGCCAGCAGTTTATCTCAGTGAGAGAAGGCATGTGTTTGGCTCCTTCACATAGTGGACATTGAGTTGTTGTGTGGGGCACCAGTAGTCCGTGTCTGTTGCTGTAACAGTAGTTCATGTTTAGAATAGAAAATCTCAGCTCACTGATTTGATTGGGGCAATAGTGTGCCTGAACTGTTGCATAATTTTGCTGAGAGATCTTTTACTTTGTGGTAATCTTAGATGAGTAGTTTTATGGACAAAAACCAGCAGGTCATTCAGTGTTCCATTAGTGCTAATGTATAAGAGATGTTGGTGTAGTATAACTGAAGTAATGTTGTTAAGTCCTTAAAGTCATATTCTTTTATTGTCATGACTGTATTTGAAGCTTTTTTTTTTTGTTTGCATGGCACCTGATTTATATGAAATATGGCTGAAGTAAACTAAACCCTAAAATACTTAGTCAGTCATTTGTTTAATAGTAATTTAACATTATATAATTCACATATAAAACTATGAATTGTGATTTTTAAATGGTTTAAAAGCACGTAGAATAGCATATGTAGGCAAGTATATTTCTCCTCTTTTTATTAAGAAGCAAAAACAAAAAGGGGGAAAAAAAAAAAAGAAACAGGGCAGAGTTTGGTGGTCGAATCATCCGTCCCCACCAATGCCAAAACCAAATCTACGCCCTTGGCTCTCCCTAATTTGGTCCTTGACCTGAGGAACCTCTGGACTCCAGAGAGAGACCATGAAGGAAGCGAACAAACAGGTCCAGGTGGCCATTTTTACTTTCGAGGGATTTCTGTATGACTCTCCACAAAAATGTATCCAAAAAGAATATATCTGTGGATGATGATGAATAAGATACTAAAGATTCAGGATAAATACAAAGACCATTTCTCAGGAACTTCTGAAGCACTTTTGTCTTCTAGTTGGTGTAACAGTGAAACATGTAGACTGCAGCCAGAAACTCCTGAAAGCTCCGATGAACAAAGTAGTAGACTGGTTTCTGAAAGATACCACATTCTCTTTTGAAGACATTTGTACAGACTCTTGAGTACAAAGAGACCCCTGCACCATTGATACCATGTTGCTCCATGTCTTCTCAGTAAAACACAATGTTTCCTTTCTCTAGATGTTCAAATGCCAGGCTTCCCAGCTTCAGAATATCTTTCTTATCAATCTCCATCAGTTTTTGTGGACCTGTTTTGTCCCTCGTGGTACATAAAAGAGCTTTGAACGAAATATAGATTCAGAATCATTTTCCTGGACAGATGCAGGGGTTGTCCTTCCTTCTTTCGAGATAGTTACTCCTACATACACAAATACTTAAATACATGCATAAATGACAGCAAAGATTGCTATTGTGTGCCATATGATTAATAAACGGAAGTTAAAAAAATCCAAAACAACGAGATGTAATGGCTCGATACATGCTTTATTATCCATGTAAAGAAATCCCAGAAAGTTAACTTTGTTCATAACACACACACATGCCTTTATTGCGAGTTGATGCAAAGCAACTAGAAATAAAATTAACATCTGATTAAAAACCAAATAACATGGCTTTTTTGTCTGTTTGTTTGCATCTAAATCTGTGCTTTGAATTCAGCTTAGACCTGAACGTCACTGACGGACCAACCTGTCACTGTTACACTCCTGTCACAGTTTCTCTCCAGACTGCTCTCAGCCATGACACAGGCGGTTCCTCCGATCCTCTCCGTCACCCCGAGTCGGGCTCTGGTTGATGAGAAATTTCAAGTTTTGGTGGAGAATCTTCCTCCAGGATGTCCGGTAACCCTCCACTCCATCCACCACTCTGAGGACAAGAATGAATGGGAGGCATATGGTCACTACATCAGCGACCACAGAGGCATCGTATCAGGTGGGTCACCGCTGGCTGCAGAAGACTTAGGATGCTGTCTCAGAGCTGGTCTTTGGAGGGTGAACAAGCTAAAAATGTTTGTTGGACAGTTTTTATTGGAATGTGAACTCGACTCCCTATGTGAGCAACTTCCTGTCCTGCTCATCATGCTTAAAGAGATTCTCACTCTTACCTCAGTAAGCTTTAAAACTCTTACCTGATGTTTTAGTTTGGGGTTTTGGCAGTTTCTGTTTCTTGGTTGATGCAGATGACTTCACTAAAACCGCTTTATTAGATTTTCTTTAATACAAAAAAGGCACTGTTGAATTTGGAGTGTGCTTTCTGAATTAATATGTAACTCATTGTCAGTTTATATTAATGATCAATGCGGAGATGGGTGACTTAGATTCTTTGAATTTTCTGCTGTTTAAAGAACATGTCACAGTTCTGTGTCATTTTGACTCAGCATTTTGAGTTATGTTTCGGTTTGATTTTGCATTATGGGTTGTATTCCTACTTAGGTTTTGTTCTTGTGCCCTCGTGTTTAGTGCAGGTTAGGTTTAGTGTCTTGTCTGCATCTTTGTAAATTGTTTCTTGTTCTGTTTTATTTTGAAGGTCCATGTCTTATGGCAATGCTACTCGTTTCGCTTCTTCTGTCTCGTTAGGTCTTATTTCTCCCGGCTGTGTTCCCACCTGTTCCTCGTTCCCTCATGTTCTTGTCTGTGTATTTATAGTGTGTATCCTCCAGTGTTCAGCATTGTGTCATCCCTCATTGCTGTGTTACGCTCCTGGTGTTTCCTCCTGAATTTCGATCTCCCAGTATAGTTTTGTTTTGTATGCTTTCCCCTGCCAGCAAATAAAGCTGTGGGGTTTTTTTTGTTTGTTTAAGTTACCGCGTCTGAGTCCTGCGTTTGGGTCCTTTCCTGCCTGCCTTCACACACAGCACATTCACCATGACAGAACATCAAATACAGTCTTGTGCACCCTGGAAGATTCCCTCCCTGTCTGCCTTGATTTAGATAAAAAAAAAAAAAAACACTGAAAACTGAACCACATCTGGACCTTAATAATCAATAAACTAACTTGTTACATTGCTTGATTTCAATTACTCAAAATATCATGCTCATGTATCATAATTAGGGAGTACTACTAAAATACTAAGATTATTATTAGTATTAGTATTAGTAGTAGTAGTAGTAGTACTTAGTAGTAGCTGTATTAATTGCTGAAATTATGATGCTTTCATTGCTGTGGGAATATTTAAATCCATTTATTGTACCTTCACACAACATTGATGTATATGTGTGTCTGTGTCTCTTCAAGGTGAGTATCACCTGCTAGTCTCTTAACAAGTCCTATTCGTGAATCCCAGGAGGTGGAAGGGCAGGACTATGGGCAGATGATCAGACCACTGACTTTGTTTACATTATATACAACACTGAAAATTAATTTACCGATGGCCACCTAATAAACAGGGTCTTTCTCAGGATATGGGGGCTATTTTTGGTAAAGGCCATCTTCCGGATCCTATTTCTGTGATATGGTTTGGAAGCGATTCTGAGATTTTAGTTTGTCCTATTTGATCACTGGCAGAATAGTTAAAGCCACTCACACAGCACACTCATCCTTATATCCCATATGTTGATATCCTCCTGTTACAGTGATTGTTTTCCAGGTTGTGGTGTTCTTGTCAGTCTTCT